TATTCTATTTAATGAACCGTGCAGTACAGAAGTTATATGTACCTGTGAAGGGTTGATTACTGTAGCTGAAAAAAAGAAGCTAGATCAAACACTTTTTTCTAGTGAAAAGTTCCAAAATAAATTACAGTTGAATGCAGAATTCAAGAAATTTAAAAAAGAATAGATTGTTTTAATTTAAAGGAAATTTAAACTTTTTTGGTGCATTTTTCTAAGAACAATTTATACAGGAAAATAAAATAACCCTGCAAATTTAAATCCAGTATGTCCTGTTTATTATTTCCTGAAGGCAAATTTCGTGATCTTTTTTTAAATATTTAAATTTAATAATATAATTAATATTTCTTCATTTTATTCCAATATCAACGTTTTAAAGCAATTAATCTGGTTCATAACTAGCTTTTTAACTCATTTCAAAAGAAATTTTTCTTTACTCCCTAATTCCGAAATATTTCTATTTTAAAAGCTTCCGTTGTTTTTGCAGTCCATTAAAGTAGACGAAATAGTAAAATATCCGTCATTCATTTTACAGAACAAGCTTCATTTTTGTAGGAAATATAAATATGCAGTTTTTAAATAGTTTAATGAATCTCCAAGATAATTTCTTCAGGGAAATTCATTTGCTCTACATTCATCTCATATCTACTCAAGTACCTCGTAATCCACATAGTGAGAGGATTTAGTCTACATGTAAAAAAAATGCATGTTTATTAATTAAATGCTTGGACTTCAAAACGTAAAAGCTAAAATTATATTTATTACTGTTATTATAAAAAAATACGTCCCCATTAAGGGAATTAAAAACAAAAGCTAGGTTGTTTTAACTGATTAATTGCTAAGAATTTTTATTTGATATGAGTTCACTGAAACACTTCCCCTTTTTATAATCAGTCTTGAAAGCGAAGTTGCTTTAAATCTTAAAGCAGATCATAAATTGCTTTCTAAACAGCTATGGAGCTAGCTGAGTATTTTGTAAATAATACAAAGTAGTTGCATTTTACATATACTTTTATTGTCCATAAATGTAGGGAAAATAAACGTGCAATAATAAAATAAGCTAATGATATATTTTTAAGCGCTTCTAAGTCATCGATTTCTCTTTGAAATTATGTCATATTTTTTTAATAGAACTGCCTGTTCCTAAATGAACTTTGTAAACAAATAAAACTGTTATTGTTATTATTTATTTTCTATTTATTTTTTATGTGTTCTTCAAGTACTCACTTCATTTCTTTTATAATTTATTTTGGTATGTTATATTTTACTTTCGGAACTCCAGTGTATCACTCGGTGAGCCTCAGGTTATAAGGTTGCCGAGGCCTGATCTGAAAAATATATAATAAAAATAAAAAATAAATAGAGGAGTTAGTTCTTATTATCTGTAACATTACAGCAAAAATTTTATAATAGATATTAATTTGGCAATCATTTTATTTTTATTATACGTAAGGTTAAGGTCGATGAATATTTTTGCATATGGATGTGAAAACAAGAGTACATTGGACATTTAGTCCATTTTTAAAAATATAGAATAAAATCATTTGGTAGTGAGAATATTGCAGATTTTAGTGACGCAAATATGAACAAAAGTCCTCAGGAAACCTTCTGCAAAAACTTTCATCACTGTGCATTTTATTGGCGGCTGTCGATGAAAATTGTGAAGGGCATACGCCAGGGGTCTTCAGAGTGGTCGATAGAGATCCCTATGGGGCCATGTGATATTGAGAGGGGCCAGTTCGTATTCGGGAGTCGATTGAGAAAAATTAATGGAAAAGTAAATCAAATATCACTAATAAAATAAACAACAAATTTGCAGCGATTATATGTAAGCATCGAATTAATTAAAGATAAAATAAAAATAAAAATCATTACTAAATTTAAAATTCGTATTCCAGGTACAGGAAATTCAAATAAAAAACGAAAAGCAATCACACAGTGTCAACAACAATTACATAAAATTTAGAAAAATGAAATAAAAAGTAAAAAGCTTAAAAGATTACTTACACTTACTTTTATTTTATTATTATTTCAATATATATTATATATATATAGTATATGTATGTGTGTGTGCATGTACAATGCATACACAAATGCAAAATAAAGGAAAATTGATAATACGCTTAAAATTCATTCGCTATTCAATTCAGAATAAACATATGCAAAAACCAACAAATCAGAAGCACGCTGGAAAACTGGGGGCAGAGGGGGCAAAGAACTAAATAAATGAGCCTGTTCCTGAACCAAAGGAGACACAAATTAAAGTTTAAAACTTAAAATAATCTCAGAAAAATAGTTAAATTAATCTGTGTCTTTATGAATCCAAACCCTATAGGCGGAAATAAGCAGTGTCGAAAATTGCAAAATTATAACGTCAAAACCAATTTAAAAAAAAGAAGTTAAAATGTTATCTTAATCATAACGAGGTCAAAAAGCAAAACCTACAAATTCAAGCAATTCAAGATATACAAAAGCAAAAACATATGTAAATTTTTGAAACCACAGAGGCCGAATTCAACACTTAAAAAAATTGTGGCATCAAAATCATGAACAAGGAAAAAGCTTAGAAATCTAGTAATAATAATAATTTGCAGTTTCAGCCGAGAGACAAAAACATGTAAAACAGAAGTAATCCAACATGTGAAAATTTGAAGTAAAATTATAAAAATATATAGAGGAGCTAGTGCTTTAAAATCTGTAACATAAGAGCAACAAAAGTTTGGAAATGAGAAATTATGTATTCCGTTTGCTTGGCAGCAAAATACTGTGTGCAAAATAATGGATTCAGGTTAACTACGAATTTTTAACTAATTAACAATAAAAGCAATTGCAAAAAGCCTCCATTGCAGCATTAAGTAGGGTGTAGCCAGAACTGTTGAAACAGAAGTTAATTATTTTATAAAAGTAAAAGGAAAAATAAAATCGAATTACCTAGATTACAAATCCGAAAAGAAGGACGATACTAGCCGCCATAAATTTAAATTACGGCGTACTTAATTGGGTTAGCAAGAAAGTAATTTCGGTTTGCACAAATCGACAGCGTTATGCTTGTTCTGTTATTCTTCTGTCAATCTTATATACAGATATATCTATATATAAGATTGACAGAAGAATTTATAATCTTAAATTTACTTAGTGCGAAATTGAGTTATATATGCTCGTTTTGTTAGTCTTCTGTCATTTGTATACAAGATTGACAGAAGACTAACAAAACGAGCATAACGCTGTCAATTTGTGCAAACCGAAATATATATATATATATATATATATTTGGTTTGAGATTATATATACATATTTGGTTTGCGATTTGGCAGCTGATACTTTTAGGTTGTTATAGAAACAAATTCCGTGCATATTTATGTACGACTGTTAGTCTATGATCTCTTTTAACATGGGGTACAAAAATAAAGATTTTCGACATATTTTAATTTTTTATTTTCATAAGAGCAAGAAAGCGGCTGAGGCTCATAAAGAGATATGTGTTAATTGCTTAACAGACCCATGTGTCAGAATTGGTTTAAAACATTTCATTCTCAAGCGTTTTCACTTGGAGATGATCACCGTTCTGGCCGACCTTCTAAAGTTGATGATGACAAATTAAATCCATAGTTGAATCGAATCGTCATGTAACTGTGCGATAAATTTCAAAAAGGTTAATGTATCCCACAATTAAAATACTCATAAGATGTTTTGGACTCGTTAAGAAAAACGCATAGCATTCAAAATAACGCATAGCATCTTATGACCTAAAGTCAGTTTAAAAACCACAGCTGAATGTTAAATTATTAAAATATGCTTCAAAACAGTCAGTTACTAGAAAATTAAAAATGTGGTAAAGCAAATGGACAATGAATACGTATTTTATGTCGTTTTGTAAGTTACTATAAAAAGGCATAAGAAACTTTATGATGTATAACAGTGTCAATTGTACTACAAAGCTTCAGAATAAATTCAACAAATTACTTAAAAATTCTTTATAAGCATTAAATCAATGCTTAAAATGTGACTAAGTATATTGTAAATAAATAAATGTTGTAAAAATACACATACATACTTTTGAAAAATAAGCTTTTCAGCTAAATGATATATGACATATTTATCATTCTAAATGGCCTGATTGACTAGAAAATAATTATATTATGAATATTGTAACATTAAATGCATATTTTAATCAACAAGACATATTGTGAAATAAATTGACAGATAAAATAAGTCACTAATCTAAGAAATATTAGAATAAAATAAAAGAAAAAGCGGTACTTTACGTTTAACCTCATCCAATTAATTCCAAAGCGCGCAATACAGACATGATGTAATGAAATCAGCCCAAGCTGAAAATCTGCATTTGACAACATACAGGTTCAGAAGTTGCAGTTCTGCTTCAGCAGCAAACGACAAATGCGAAATAAATTGGAAAATTTTTATATCTTAATGGCATTTCTCGGTATTTTTAATATAAGTTTCATAAAAGGCTCGTTTATTGAACTACGAGTAACTAAACTGGTACGCTTCTTTCCTTTCGAAATTTTTGTCACATTCAAAATTTATTACTTATTAGAATATATCAAAGCACACTGGGGTTATCTCTCTAAGGTAAGAGATGCCTTCGTAAAGAACTTTTAGGGTAAATTAGCTCATATTCACGTTGTAACGTGAGTAGGTAAAACTAAGAAAAACGGCCATACAGTCAGCCCGTTTTGTCGAATTTTGATCACAAGCCAAACTACTAGTGCTTAATGCTCTTATCCACTCGTCCACTAAAATATGAATTTGGCGCCCATATATTTCCAGAGAAAGCTGTTTGGCGTGCGTTGCCTTATAATGAAAAAGATGCACATTACGTACAGAACAATATTTTCCCTCAAATGTCCCTCAAATTCATATCGAAAACGCCCATTTAAGTGAGCGAGATATTAGTTATATTTTTTAATTGTATCTCGCACACTGAATTGAGATTTTCTACTAATTATGAAAGCTTTAATTATAATACAAGACTTCACCCTTAGGTCTATTGCCGGTCGCATCGTTGGCAGCGTGTGGTGGTTTTTTACTCTTATTATCATTTCATCTTACACAGCAAATTTGGCAGCGTTTTTGACAGTCGAAAGAATGGTAACGCCTATTAATTCTGCTGATGATTTAGCTAAACAGACAGAGGTTGAATATGGAACACTCATGCATTCATCGACACAAGAATTTTTTAGGGTAAGTGTCTTTTATGTATGTGTTTGTATTGTTCAACAAATAGTGTTAACAACGGAGCTGCTGACGACTGCCTTATACATATCCCCTAGCAAAGGAAAATTTCAGTTATTTTAGTGGGATAATAACACAATTAAAACGAAATATTTAATAGCAAATGGTATAATCATTTGATTTTTTTTCTCTTTGGTCCCAACACCTGAGTGTGCTGACAATTACAGATTTAGTTATAATTGTAGCAGTGACCGGAAAGTATTGCAGGATTTTGGTTTACTAAAATTCACATGCGTAGAAGAATTCTAAAAGAATTCTACGGTCGAAATTTTTACCGATTATAATTATAATCTTGATACTACGCCCATTCCTTTCTAGGTTTACTGAATTAATATTTCATGAATTTTATTCTTAAGTAAAGGATGTCACATGATACGCTTGTTGCCGTATAATGATTTGTGAATTCTCCTGCATGTAAATGTTGCAGTGGTAAGTAGGAAGACTTTTGCCGGGTGCAATAATTGCATAACAGTGCTAAGTGTTTAATTTGGGACGTTCCAAAGGGCATATTTTAGTCTTGTGGAAGAAGCTAGTGGGAAATGATGAAATACAGACGATGATAGAGTCAAATCTACGTATCACCAATAAAGAAACAGCAGATAGGTTTCATTGTGCTATGCAAAAATATGATAATGATTACAATAAATCAAATAAATTCTTGAAACAGATAGGAAAGTTTTCCTATGTTGGTCTTTAGGTTCAACATGAACTCAAACATCGCTGTGAGAAAGCCATCAAAACAAGTATAGATTTGCAGTTCCCTGTTCGTAAAATATACATGGCGTCTTCCTTAAAGAGTACTTTGACTAGAGTCAAAAAATGATTTTTTAAATAATATTACTTGAAAACGACAGTGATTGAGCGCAAAATAGAAACTAATTCTTACAGAAATGGCAAAATTGTTCAGATGCAAAGAAGAATTTGCTTTGCATATACTATTTGGATATGGAAAGTGTGGTACAGTTTGCACTGTTTGAAAATAACCAGACAATAAAGGAAGACATACTTTATCATCTTCAATGCAAGATATAGCCAACAAGCAATTTACTTTTATCGACAGACTTGAAGTGATTTTTCAGTAGAATAACGTTGGATCACAAATTTAAGAGTTACTACAGGCTACTGAGACGGGATAATGGTAACTGACTCGGACTGCCGTACCGAAGAGCCGAGGTTAGAATTCTGGAGAAGGCATACAATGTTTGTAAATGTATATTGTCTTTTCAACATGGTAACTCTGCAACATGGTAACATTTGGGTTGCCCAAATGAAAAGTGGACAAGTTATAGAAAAATAATACCTTTATTGCAAATCAAAAGAACTCGCCATGGGCGTTGAAACACAGGTCCCAGCGTTGCGGCAGCAGCTCGATGCCTCTGCGGTAGAAAGATTGGGGCTGAGGAAGTCCTGCCCGGCTTACTTCACTCCGTCTTCCGAATTGAAACGTAATCCCTGCAAGGCTTTCTTAAGTGGCCCAAAGATGTGAAAGTGAATGTCCGGACTGTATGTGGGTGCCTTCGAACCTCTCAACGGAATGTGTTTAAGGTCCTCTGGGTTTCCTGGGAGACGTGTGGGCGGGCATTGTCATTCAGAAGGATCACTCCTTGTGTGAGAAGGCCTGGCCGTTTGTTTTTTATTGCTTGTCGCAGTTTCGTCAGAGTACTGCAGTATTGTGCGGAATTGATAGTGCTCCGTTGGGGCAGGAACTCGATTACAAGTGGTCCATGACAATCGAAGAGAAATGAAAGTATCACTTTTCGTGCAGTTATCATTGCTTTCGATTTCCGTGGTGAAGATGAGCTGCGTTTCCATTGCATACTCGTTTTCTTGGATTCGGGTGTGTAGTGGTAGCACCAGGTCTCGTCGCCCGCAGCGATACGATCCAGAAATGCGGGATTCTATTCATAACGGATCAAGTGCTGGAGACAGAAGCCCATTCGTCGTTTCTGATGATCAAGGGTCAGTTGTTTTGGTACCCATTCCTCACACACTTTGCTGTACCCCAGATGTTTGTGGATAATGGTGTTAACCGTTCCTTTACTCGGGTTGAGTTCGTGACTGATTTCACGGGTCGTAAACCTTCGATTAGCTTGGATCATTTCATTAACGAAGGCAATGGAATTGTTATGTCGCGAATTTTAATTATTAATATGTGTTCTAAGTTATTATTATTCCAGAATTTTTATTTGTACTCATATGTATTTTAATCTTGGAAAAAAGTATTCTTAAGCTTGTTAAAGTTTTATTTAGCTCGGTAGTTCTTGAGTAGGAATTGTAACGAAAGGCGAGAGAACGGTTGCAAGGAAACACATCTGGTTTATTGGGTTATAGCCTTTTTAATAACAATGGAGGCTGTAGGGTGTTGTGTTGTCGCCTTTTTAACTAATGGCGTTTGAAACGGAAATCGTCTTCCTGTCGCTTTGTTAGAGTTGCAGTTTGGCTTATTTCAAGACAGTGGGGGTGTACTAAGTTTAGGTAATTGGATTCTCGTAAAGCTTAGTTTTCGTTTGTTAGGGTTGTGTTTGGGGAGTCCATTTCTTTTCTCACGTTGTGTGTACAGATTTTTTTCGGACTGCATTGCCAGATTTTCTGGTGTTTCATTCGTCATGGGTGTGCCATTCTCTCATTTTAGATAACGTAAAATTCCGGCATTGGTAAGTGATTTTAAATTTATGATTTTTGAAAGCCTATGAACTCACAGAGGCGGAGAAACCGAGATTTCCTGGGTGCTTGCACCAGGCTAGAAATTATTCTGATTCTTGATTTTTGAGCTAAAAGTAAAAGGAGAAGCAGAAGGTGTGGCGGGGGGCTTCCCTCCATTGCGGGTCTTGCTCTCGCGAGCGACTTGAACCAGCGGGCTGCGGTGATGGTTTTAGCCTTGGAGTCTGATTTGAATGAATTTGGGGCAGCCGCGATGTGAAGGAGAAAGAAAGATCGAGGGCGTTTTGCCCTATGCGATTTGCCGGCTTCGGGCTGCTTGAGCAAGAGGGTTTGAGCTGCGCTTTCTTCTCTCCAGAAGAGGCATTTTGTCTGCAAGATGATTAACAATTTTGTAATATATGTAAAGAGCAATTTACTACAGATTTTCTCTCTTTACTCCGAATCTCCAGGATAATCCTTCGGAAACCGAAAATTTGGACATTCCCGAAAATGAATATGTTCTGACACTTGGAAGTTTCAAACAGAAGTACAGTGTCATTAGAATCCGGCACCTGAGGTTCCAGACTCATAAACATTCGCCAGGTAGAAGTATTTGTTATTACTATCCGGCACCTGACACATACACTGGTGTGCAAATTTAAGAACGATAGTCGAAAAATTAGCATGATCAGCTGAACGAACTTTTCCCTGATCTGGCTGGTTAGTTTTACAAAAAGTTCTTCATCCTGTTTCCAGATATTCTTGTGCAGAATGGACTTCAATGAGCGAGTGTTAGTTTATTAACTGTGATCAAGGTGTTGGCTCAAGGAAATAGACTTTCTCCGTAACTCGGTAAACTGGACACCCCCCCCCCAAGGTTGTGTATTCCGAAGAATATGTGAGTGAAATTTTTAAGATTATTTTCTCTCTCTCTCTCTTAGTATTCCCAAATGCCATAGTGTAACAGTTAATAATGATTTATCTACCTGTTTATAATGTTATTACTTATATAAATTAGATATTACACTTAGTAAAATTAAGAAGTGATTTATTATTTCAAGTGATGGCCAGTTTTGGGATGTTTAAAATTTGTTTCACCTACTGAGTTAGTGAATCAGAAAATGTTCACCTTTAATTAATGAGAACCATTTATTTGGAGAATTATAATGTGTTACACCTTCTTAATTTGTAAAAAAAAAGTTAAGTATTAATTTAAAATTTGAATTATTGTAAGCTGAAATTTGTGTAACAGAGGCGATATTTTCATAGTAAAAATATGTGGTAGGGGATACTGATCAGTTACCCAAGTATTTACTAATAATATAATATATTCAAGAATTTAATAAATGCGTGTTTAAAATTTAATTGTATTTGTGTATTTATCATGTAATATACTGTGGTCTGTCATGTCCCTCCATTTGTTTGAGCCGGGAGGCTTTTAAGAAACATGGAGTTTAACTGAATTTGGGGTTACTGGGATTTCCTTTCGCATAGGTTACTCACAACGCAAACCTAAAAGTTAAATTGTACTACCACTATACGATTGATTGATTGATTGATTGATTGATTGCTTTGATATACGAATGTTTATAAGAAATACGATATGCTATATGAATGTTTTGAATTATTTGCTTTTTTGAGTTAGTGTATCCGGCACCATGAATCAAAGTTCAAAGTATATAAAACGATAATTTTCAGATACATAACAGAATCATTGGTGATCACTTTGTTTGGCCCGGTCTCGGCAGATCCGATGTCGTTTGCCGCCCTTCACGGGAACTTTTACACCATTTGTTTACAGCCGTACGACCTAAACAGTGGTTGTCATACTGGACAACAAACAAATAAACAATGTTATAACTTGATATGTTGCCGTTATTCAATACTTAAATTTCTGAAACAATAGTTTTTCCTGTTTGATCTTGTCTACCTCAATCCTGCATTGCTTTCAGACAAACCTGGTATATTGATATTTACTGCTGAAACTTTATGGATGTAGGAATTTAAAAGAATGGTGGATATTACTCCTGCTTTTTATTAGAGAGATGGAGATTTGTCCATTTAGATGTTTGTAAATTACGTCTTCTTGCTACCGATTATTTCTAAATTATGGTACAGGATGCAGAGCCTGCAAAGCTGAAGCTATGCAATTTTTTTCCACATATAATCTTTAAACTTATTTATCCCCATGTTGATTATGTTTGAGGCTGGTGAAATTAATTTATTTATTGCAGTAAAATATTTTATATGTTCAATATCCAAAAAGTGTTCAGTAATATTTTAGCCTAACATACTTGTAAGAAATAACCAACTGAGTCGGTTTCTACCGCGCGTTGTTCTGATTTGGATGCATCCATGAATAGCACGACTTCCTTTCGCACAATTTAATCTCCTACCAACAGGTTTCACGGTTAAATGCCGTCTAAAATGCATATATCATATGGCCCTTTATATACTTGTGCAGTGGCGCTGCTATCGAAGCATTCATTCTGACGTTATCGCACGTGTCCACTTTTCATTTGGGCAATCCTTATATATGGGGAGCCAAAAGTCTTCTTGCGTGGTTTGGTGGTAGGGGAGAAGGGTGGGAGACTCCCGAATCAGTCCCATGGGGTTGCTGTCCTTCAAAATTGGAAATAGGAGTCCAAAATCCTTGAGGCTCTGGCAACCATTCTTCCATGAACACTTGACAATAAACAAACAATGTTACTCCACAGAACCTTAAAGACGGGAAATTATTATTAAACATTGCGAAAGCCTAAATGCCTCCGCAATTATTATTTGTTTAGGATTCTGCAGCGTTTTATGTTTGCAGTTATTTCTACTGTGTACCGCGCTTTAATTCCACATCCTCCAAACTGACAGTTATATATGAAATAAATTAATATTCTCCCGTAAACCAAAAAATGGACTAAAAAGGTGAGTTTGCAGAATCCATGGAAGATCACTTCTATGGATTGATGTTCTTCAAAATTGGAAACAGAAGTCAAAACCTCCTTGAGGCTGTGGCAATCATTCTTCGATGAAATATGGACTGGACAACAAACAAATAAACAATGTTATAACTTGATATGTTGCCGTTATATCAATACTTAAATTTCTGAAACAATACTTTTTCCTGTTTGATCTTGTCTATCTCAATCCTGCATTGCTTTCCAACAAACCTGGTATATTGATATTGCCTGCTGAAACTTTATGGATGTAGGAATTTAAAAGAATGGTGGATATTACTCCTACTTTTTATTAGAGAGGTGGAGATTTGTCCATTTTCTTTCATGAAACATTTAGATGTTTGTAAATTTGGTCTTCTTGCTACCGATCATTTCTAAATTATGGCACAGGATGCAGAGCCTGCAAAGCTGAAGCTATGCAATTTTTTTTTCCACATATAATCTTTAAACTTATTTATCCCCATGTTGATTATGTTTGAGGCTGATGAAATTAATTTATTTATTGTAGTAAAATATTTTATATGTTCAATATCCAAAAAGTGTTCAGTAAGATTTAAGCCTAACATACTTGTACGAAATAACTAACTGAGTCGGTTTCTTATGAAGTTTAACCTGACTTCAAAGCATTCTATCCTTTAGCTGTGTAAATCCAGTAGAAAAGGTTCTGGTAACAGCTCTGAGACCATTTTTTCTCATGTCAGTATCCTTGCTAAAACGTGAACCACGTAAGCTTTGCTTCAATTTCTTTTTGTATACAGAAAAAGCCATTTGAAATCAGTTCTGATGAATATGTTGGTAGGGAAGAAGTTGCAATATTTAATGGTTGAACAGCAATGTGGGAAACATAGCTTCAATGCGGGACGTCACCCCGCAGAAGCAACTTTTTAGGATGGTATTTCATATCTATGACCTATTGGAATTAGCTCAATAAGTCTGCATATTATCTATCTTTTATCGTGGCGTTTCGTGACTAATAATAAAAGCGTAACAAAAAAAAATTATTGATCAAACTTTTTTCCAATTGACCTCTGTGTTTCGAATTTATGGAATCAGGGAGGCTCATTGTGACCCATACTATGCTTTTTATTTCATTTTTGGCTCACAAGAGTGAAGCAACTTGTTATCTGCTGTTATCAGTCATGAGTAAAAATTATCTTCATCAGCGTTTATTATATTTGCTTTTAATACTCCGTAATGATGATGAAATTATTCCATCGTGTTTGGTCATCCCAACAGTATTACGTCACAGTTAGGCTTAGTACTTACTGAATGCTTCCCATATAGATGTTATTTTTAATGTTTTCTAAATATTCATTTTCTCGATTTTAAGTTACAAAGTGGCAAGATTCCAGTTTATGCTCGTATGTGGGAATTCATGAATTCTAGAAAGCACGTGTTTGTTCGTACATATGAAGAAGGAATACAAAGAGTGCGTGAATCCAAAGGCAAATATGCATTTCTAATGGAATCGACAAAAAACGAATATATAAATGAAAGAAAGCCTTGCGACACCATGAAAGTGGGAAGAAATTTAGATGCCAAAGGATATGGAGTTGCTACACCAGTGGGATCAAATCTCAGGTTCTCTTATTTACAAAAGAACTATTCAATAATATTTTTTTGCATGTACTCAGTTCGCATATTTTTGTTTGTCCAAAACAAACGACCTTTTTAATTTATTCTTGAAAATAAATTAAAAAGTAGCGTCCTTTTTAATTTATTTTCAAAATTTTATGCGCTATGATTAGATATAATTCTATATGACCAATATTTTAATTTAAAATTAGTTTAATTAAGCATAGAAAAGAAATTTCTAAAGTAATTAGAATAAAATTGAATTCCTAAAACCTTAAATGATTTTTGGTGCATACTTTTTACATAATTGTTTAGATAAATTTTCAGATTTATGGTAAGGCTGCACATGACATAATACATAAACTTTAAGTAACAATTAAATTAGTAAATTAATTCAGATTAACATCTTAAATAAATGATGGTATTATAAGCATATCTTAAACTTTTCTGTGATTTCAAGACAATTATAAAGAGTAGCAAATGCAAACATAGGTAGTCCTCGACTTACGACTACTCGCTTTCAGAACGGACAAAAACTAAGATTAAAAATTAATTAAATCCTCTAATTTAAGTTTACCGCCAGCCGTGGCATATAAGCGGTTTTTTTTTTTTTTTTTTTTTTTTTTTTTTTAAACTTTTATGCAACGCAATGTATGATTGTTAAAACGTCGCTTCGCCTGTAAAAGGCGCTATGAGACATTTGCTGGATGTTTTATTTGCTTGTTAAAGTAGTTTTATTTTAAATAGTAGTTTGTGTAATTGTAGTAGTTTTATATTAAATAAAAGCCTAATTTAAAAACTTTCACTAAAACTATAAAGAATAAGACAAGCCCCGAATTAAGGCAGAATCAATTTACGATAGGACTTCTGGAATGGCATTCGTCGCGTCTTGAGGACTACATGTACATTATTATTAATATTTCGAAAGTCATACCCTAATTAGCCATTATTAAAAACTTTATAAATTTGTTCTATGATGTGACTCGTAAAATTATGTGTAAGTGTTTACATGAATTTTATAAATCCTAGGGACCGTCTCAATCTGGCAGTTTTAACCATGTTGGAAAACGGAGATTTGGCTCGACTGGAAAATAAATGGTGGTATGACAGGAGTGAATGTAAAAATGGAGAATCTAAGGTATTATGCGTGTTTAGTTTGAACTTAAATTAATGAATACACGTGCATATAATCATGTATCTCAGAGGCACTTTAATGAAGGTTAATCTATATAGAAAACATAAAACTATGAGTTTTTATAATTTTCTTTTATACTATGCATTTTAAAAGCGTATATAAGCAAAATTAAAAAAACTGAATCAGGTATAATATAAGCAGTATCAGATTTAAATCTCAAGAAAGCAACGAAAATTATATTAAATCAGTTTTACTTCCACTGAATTTAATTTTGCAGTATTTCTGTAATGGCAAGAAATGATCTGATAATTCATAAATATGTACCGTAATATAGTTTAGCAAACAGAACAACGCACACAAATATGTACTAGAATCCAGGCAACAATGAATCTATGAGTGAGAGTACTTTGCCTAATATCTATGAGTTTCTTTTCTAAAATTATGAATCACTAAAAGCACAGTGCTTTTACAGAGTACCGTTCTGTATTATCATGCAAGTAAATTTTTTAAGGTATTATTTCGTAGTCTTTAATATAAGTTACATTCCATAACTAAATAGCTTTTTTCTAAAACCTCAGACTTTTATATAAATATATGATATATATAATATATAAATATTAATAAATTAAAATATTAACAGGGATATTTAACATTAACAGCTTTACATTAAATATATATGCATGCATGGTATATGTATGTGTATATATAGTATGTATATATGCATGTACGCATTAAATATTATATGTATGTATGGTATATGTACTATTATACTTATATAGATATATATAGATCTATATAGTACAATAGTTTTCAATCAGAACAGCGAAAAATGCACTCAAGGAAAAGATAGTCTGTAGTCAGGTATTTTAACAATACTCTTGTGTCTTTTATTTTTGCTAAGTCTACTTAAAAAATCTCTTACATCGGCAGTGTAAAAACGAATTAAATATATAAATTATTTATATGAGGATATAATTAATCACATTTTTTTCGGTTACTTAATTTTTGAAAGTGAATTCAAGCTAAATATGAAATCTGCCACTAAATATTGATTGACTTTTAGATTAATGTAAATTTAATAATTGGTTTCAGATTCATATGTTTATGGAATGACTGAATTTTTAAATCACTTTTACACTTATTCAAATGTTTCAACTAAGACACAGAAACTGTGTGTAAAATATTATATTAATTTGTATAATTTGTATCCGCCATTTTTAAAAATTTTTAAAATAGCTTTTTTAATCAAGAAAACATTTAAATATGCCATAAGACAAGCATAATTTTGAAAATTAATAATTTCTTTTATGAAAGTAGTTCCTGATCGAAGAGAATTCGAGAGTTTTCAGAAACACCGGGCTTGCAGCATTCTGAGGAGCCAGGTTTGAAATAAATAAAGCTGAATCTGTTACGTTTCGAGCTCTTAAAGTAGCGTAATGGCGCCCGAGGGAGCGTGTTAAGAGTTGCTGGCAGATGCGAAGTAGTCCTTTCATAGTTGTTTCATGACGGCCAAACCAAACAAAATAGCATGGTTAAGCATGGTTTCAAAGTGTAGATTTTTATTTTCTTCAGTTTACTACACATTTTTAGTTAAAACAAAGTTTAATTTCCGAGAAACGTTTTATGTCAGCAAGAAACGAACTAACTAAACGCTGTCATGGGACTTTCTATGAAATAATCCGTAATACGCTTTGTACTAGATTCGAAACTTATTTACTCATAATTTTTACGACTTATATTTCTGTCAAAACCAAATAAAGACGCATTTTTGGCTTCGAAGTAGGAGCACTGGACCTCGAGGAACTGCGTAATGGTTAATATCTGGGGGGAAACACTTATCTGGTAAACTTTACTAAAGCAAACAATTCCATATTTGCTGTTACAAGTCAGAAAGCATTCATGCAGCCACCTTTCCCTTTTCCATCAGATAATCGTAACTAAGTAAAACAGTCAAACTTTAGGGACATAATTTAAAAGAAGTTCATAATTATGTGATATTAAAGTTTTTTAAGGCACAAACTGAAATCCAGCAAGATTTACATTTGAAATTACATTTAAAATGAATACATAAAATGTTATTGATATCAATTAAAAAAGTAGAAATTATACGTACTAAATACATATGTGACTCTTTTCTTCCAAATAGTTACCTCTTTAAGCAACCACTAATCGCGTGTTGAACCTAAGGGCAAGGTTTTTTGATGTTTTCTAACGTTTCATTTAATCATTATTTGAATTCTGCAGTCTATGCTTACGGCTTAAGATTCAGTAAAATCTCAATATCTCGACAAGAAACCGACAGATTATCCAAGAAGTCCGAGTCTTGGATAGAAGTTCAAAAAACTGAATAAATTATTTGGGGTCCAAGAAACGAATAAACTATCCAAATTATCTCTTAATGATTCAAAGTTCATTCAAAGACTGAACTTCGAGTCATTAAGCAAATCAGAAAAAAACACTTTTTTCTTTCTAGTTTTAATTAGAAAACTTATTAGCTAATTATTATCTAGCTCTTATACTATATTATCCAAATTTCATTATAACAATAAAATTTATGAAAATTATGTGTACTAAATGATTATACTAAACGATTAAAGTAACTAAACGACTAACGATTAACCATTAACTAAACGATTAGACTATCATAAAATGTTGATTAAGATGTGTCACAGACATTTAAATTATTTCGCATTCATACCCTTTAATGACATAAATAATTCATAACATCAGAATTATATTTAAAGGAAGGCTCCATAATCGTCCCCAAAAAATTAGGAAATACTATAAAAATGCAGATCAAAGCAATTGTTTTAAATGAAGTAACGTATGATCTATTTCTGAATAAGCCAGTAATAAAGTGTGAAATTGATTCTTCAACCACTTGGCTTGTTCTCTAATGTCTAAGTTCCAAAAATGGCTACGAGGAAAGAATTTCTCCTTCATTACAATTCTAAACTGCCCTTACTGTTTTGTACATGGTGTCTTTCCCACCTGATATGCTGCATTAAAATATTAAGTATATTTCAAAATTTCAAGGATACGTACTTGTTTAAAAATATTGTAACAAATACTGTTGAACGTATGTGCACGGTATGGACAGCTCGAGAACTTTAGCAAAAGAGACTATAAATTGCTAACTTTTCTTAGTGTAATTTTAAGGATTTAGTTTAGTAAACTATTATTCAATAATTTCCAGTTCTTTAATTTTTTTCACTAGTTTAGCAATACGTTTAATTGGCAACATAGGGCGCACATCCCTATTACTATTATAGAATTTAATACTTAAAATTTCTAATAGCATTTTAATTACTTAAAATCATAATTATTGTATAAATTTCATGTACGCATTCAATGAATATTTATGTCTATATTTTATAATTATAAATATATATTAGAGTTATATGTATGCATCGTTTGTTTCATAACTACGTTTTCTAATGCAAATCTTGTCTTGCCCCCTCACGTAGTGAACAAAATCTTACACTTGCCCTTTCATAACATTGATAAGCCTTTGCTACTTAAGATTTTTATTTCGTAAGAAAATAATTTTAATCAATAAGACTACGACTCGAAAAAAACAAGAGTTTGCTAATAATTATTAGCATAAAAGTTACAGATTTCAAAGAAAAACTTCAACAAAAGTGGAAGTTCAATACATTGAGAGTTAGTAATATGTTTAACATCTAATGCTAATTACACTGATTTAAATTTTTTAAAACTAATACTTGCTATGTAGTCTATTATGCGAAATACCCTTTTTAGTTTGACTGTTACAAATATATTATTTAGGAATCATCTCAAAACGAGCTGACTCTAAGTAACGTTGCTGGCTGTTTCTACATTCTAATTGGAGGCTGTGGGTTAGCTCTCATGGTTTCATTTTTGGAGTTTTGCTACAAGTCCAAAATGGAGGCTACGAGATCTAAGGTTCGTTTTTCCGATTTCTAAATCTATTTTACAGTTGATTATTTATACAAACGATTCAGTTTTCCCAAATGATATCTCTAATATACAATTAATATCTTTACTTAGAATACTCTATTTCATATATTTTCCCTTTGTTTATATATTTGATGCCAAAAATTTTAAATTCGACTTGATTGCGACCTATGATAATTTTATATTTATATTAAATATGTGTAGTTAAAGAAAATTTGAAATTCCAAGTAATTAACATTCAGTTATGTTTTTTTTAAAGAGGATTGCTATTAAATCACATTAAAAGTTCCTTTTGCAGAAAATATTAGGGTTTGAAAATGAAAGTGTTTTTCTGCCATTGGATAATTAAAATTAATTAAACTGATATGTGTCTGCAAAACCTGTTAGGATATTTTTTCTCTGTTTAAACCAAATAGTTTAGATAACAGTTAGTAAATATTACCTAAAAATGCAGAAAATAATTAATTTTTCAGCTGTCACGTCAACGGCATAAAATGAAACTAAATAACAGACATTCCAAAAATAATTCATATTAGAAGCTAATTGCATAAATTTTTACAGAATATTTGTATGTTGTAAACTAAATTATTTTTCTTTTCACTTAATTTCTCTTGAATGAGTAAATGAGCATGTGATATGGTATCATTTATGTATTCTTTAGATGACGCTTTGTGAAGTGATGATGAATAAATTGCATACATCAGTGACAGGACAGTCACATGCCAACCACGCCAGGGTACGGACCAGCTCTTTTTGATTGGTACTTAATTCTTCATATAATAATTGTCCTACTTGAAACAAGTAAGAAGGGTATTAAATTTAATACAAAGTTGAAAATAAAAATTCATATATTAAGATTTTAAACAAATATGACCGGATGATTAGTAGGGTTGTCTTAATTTTATTAAACATCAAATTATATAAGAAGAGCATGCTTCCGTAAAAACACATGGGGTCAATAATATTGTGTCGCGAAATCCCACTCTACAATTATATTTATTTAATGTGTGGAGTGAAACTTGATGAAGCTAGAGCTTAAGATCTGCTTGTAAAACTGTCATCCTCACTGTACCCCTCGCTTCAGCATCAGGTAATATTATTTTATCGTGTGATATCCAGGTTAAGGATACGCCTTTCTATCTTCTTTAAAATATAATGTTTTCAACCGCTTTAAAAAGGCCTCCTTTCTCTCTCTCTCTCTCTTCTTTTTTCGCTGTTTTGCGCACCTTGTATTTAAGAGCTGCTTTAAATTTGTGAATTTTATTTTTGCATTTCTACTCATAATGCAAACATGGAGAAATAGTTTTTCTCTGCTAAACGTTCAGTACACCAAAAAACGAAATATGACAGAGAAATAATGAAGTCAGTTAAGGTTTAGTTTACAATTTAAAGAACAAAAAGCTATTATCAATAAAAGGTAGCGCAAAAAAATAATTATTAAATGAGTAGTATCAGAATACTCTGTGATTATTTTAAAACTGATATTAAGGTGTTATTTTTGTAGTTACGTTAAAGTACTTGCTGGTGTAAATTTTTGCTTCTTAATAAATGTACAAGTTTTTTAATGGTGTTAATGTATTTTGACATAATACGTTTTGCCAGAATATTTTTACACTGAATGTTATTCTTTTATACTAAACGTTTTTAGAGATTATTTAAATACTAATCTTTTTCATAATAAAAAATTTTATATCAATCTCGCTTTATTTTAAATGTCTTCCTTTTCAGTTGATTTAAAAATAAACTCGCCTTCTTTATTTTTGTGTCTGGTAAACCTAGTAGCTTAAAAGAAAAACTTTGTCATTCCATAAGGGATTTAATGCTTCTGCTCTTTTTTAAAAACATTTTTACCAGAGTAGATTATTAAATTCGGAGATCTGAAATCTTTATGTCGTGATAATTTAAAACAGTTAGTTTAACTTTTTTCCGTACATGTAGAAAATGGTTTTTTGATCCATGTTTTCAAGACAATGCGACAGAAGCGTAAAATAACAAATGTCGCATCAGCATTAGAAATTATAGATGGCTTTTCCTTATCTGTGTAAACAGTATTTCCGTTTTCATAAAAAAAGCTACTCTTTGTATAGGATCATTTCCTTTTTGTTAAGCATCTTGAAGTTTCTTTCAAGATTTTTCTTAAATTTTTCTTGCTAGCAAAATAGGAACTAATGCCATTAGAGAGAAATATTTGTTGCAATCTTTAATCGTAAGCGATCCGGTGGAATATGCATCTATACCCTGAATAATGAAGTTTTCCTTTATTAAATAAAATCACAAATCTCCACGTGCAAACTAATGATGAAATAACGATGAAAATCGGGGTTAAAATATTATGCCACCGCAATTCTCTTTCCTTTTGGCTTTACTATTTCGAGCATAAGGTTTTATATTCTATATTTTTTATTTCTGGAGGTAGGGCTAAACTCTAAGCTATTATGCCTATTGTAAATGTTTAGCTTAAACAGTTAAACAGTTTGATCCAGGTGTTAAGCTAAAATCTGCACACCAAGATCAGATTCCAAATTCTTCTAATGTTATTGTTTTTATAGATTTCTAATAAAAATTTCAAAATTTTTTAAACATTACTGGTACTTACGTCGAAGTATTTATTTGTAATTTAAAGTTTTCATATGCAATTTTTGTTTCTTTTTGGTTTTTTGCCGGGGAATCCTTTTTGGGCAAAGATACATTAATATCAGAGATGAGAAATTAAGATCTAACTGGGCAGATCATGGCGGTGATAAGTTACTGTTTAAATTCTGCCCCCCCTTGGAGGCATTAGGTTATTTTCTTACAATGAGGAATCTTGAAATGTTAACCGAAGCCTCATCGGTAATCGAATACCCGACCTCCCAATTAGTTAGCTGGATTTGTTGACTACTAACTGTAAAGACGGATTAACTTTAATTCTTTAAACTTTTCCTAGATAAAGACATAAATGTATTATCTTATCCAACTTAATCCAGTAAGTGAAAAATGTTATCATCATACACTCATAGCTTTAATAGTTAATAATAATAAATGTTTGAAATTCCATATGATATTTATGTTTTTACACGTGATGATGAAACTAGTGAAGATGCAGTAATCCGAAAACTTAATTGTCGGGCGTTTTCATCTTATCAAATTGCGCATTTAATTGGTTAACAGAGCAAAGTACAAGAGGCCTGTTTGCTTAAGGTACATGTCTACATCGAGCCTCTCTAGAACAAACCAATTTTTATTCACATTACATACTGAACAAATCAGGAAGGCATACATGCAAACAGTCCGTCTGCTAGGATTCGCTACCAATATTCAGCGATTTTATTTTGTCAGTCACTGATAGACTAATACTTATTCCGATTACCAAGGTTTCAATAAACAAACACGCAAATTAGAATAAAAATTTGCTTTGTTGAGTTAAAATGTTTTAAAGTAAATCAGTTACGGAATATAGTACTGTACGTATGTAGTAAGTATGAAAACTAAACAAAATTTTATTTAATACAAATTTACGATATTTGATGGGAATATGCAGTATTGCAGAATAAATTCTTCTGAACAGAAAATCATCTTTCCGTAGCATTTTTTTGTAGAAATGGTTGGCTTTTCGGTTAGAAAGTCACTAGTTACAGCATAACGTTTACATAAACATAATGTTCCGTTGTAAAAATACGTACGTGAAGACTCTGCATCAAGATTTTCAGCCTATTTAAGAATTTTTCTTTCACTAGGACCGCATTTTGCATAAAAAGAAATTACGCTGTGCAATTTTTTTAAATCACAAGCAGTCGATTTTTGGTGGTGTTAGGTATTTTTGTGTTGCTGACCACAACTATTCTATTGTTTTATATTTTTCATTAAAAATTAAAGATACGGATGGATATATTGATGGCACATTTCACTACATACGGATATATTAACAATATACACATGTACGGCTACATTGATGGCATATTTAAATATATCAATACGTAGCATCCAAATATACTTAAAGCAACCGCTAAAGAAAACGTTTTGCATTTGCAGTGTTCAGAAAGGAATGACTATTGCGATAAACGTGACTATAAGGTAAGGAAGCGGCTTCAGACTACGAAATCATCTCGGGTTTAAACGAAAGTTTCCCGCCACCGCCCAAATTTCCTCTGCGCAAACAGTTCGCGCTGGCGTGTTTAATAATTTTAATTAATGAATTAATTTTGTCAAATGATTTTTAGCATTTGAAAGAAAGAGACTTGCTTTAGAATATTGTGTTGTGAAATTTACAAAACAAATATCGTTGTCATTAAGAACAAAGTGTCTGAAATGGAACTATAACACTACCACATTAGAACCATCATTTACTTCCAGTTCTGTTGCAAAAGGTCAGCTACAGAATGTCAACAAATCTTGTGTATAGCTTTAAGCATTAATGTTGTATCATATGACACTGTGAAAGGTTAAAAACGAGGACTATGACATTCAAGAAGCAGAGCGTTCTGGCCGCCCTACTGATGTTGATGAGGCCGCCTGCGAGAACTTGAGGAAGAAGAATAGTATGCAGTCACTCGAGAGCTTGGTAAGTAGTTAGACGTTAGTGCCATGCCCATTAGTCCGATATGCATCGCATAAATTTGACGTACAAGTTCAATCGCTGGGTGTCACATAAATTTGTAGAGTCATTAGGATTTTTGGAAGCAGGAGATGTAAAAAATGAGCAACCCTTTCGCCGGGACTCGAACCATGGGCCTTTCGAATACGCGCCGGGCGTGCTGACCACAACACTACGAAGGCATGCTAAGAAGGCGGAAGAAATACCTTATAAGTTGACTCAAGCAGATAAGGACACAGGTGACAAGTGACGGAGGACGGGGACACCTGGTGTCTAACAAAGCTAACCATGTATATGTCCCACGCACACTAATCTGCTCGAATATCAAGGAAAGGACAAAATTCTAGACTGGATCTTCACTTGTGATGAAAAATGGATTTGTTTTAGCACAGGCCGAAAAGGGGGTTTATCTGCGTCCGGTGAGCCCGTCGGTAAGCGTAATATGACTAACAAAAAGATCGTGCTTTGTATCTGGTGGGACTCCCGTCGTATTATCCACAAAGAGTGTCTGCAGAATGGTAAAATCCTCGACAGTAAGGCGTACGGCAAAATGCTAGTCCATGTTTACGCTGTTATCAAATAATGTGACTGCATTCACCACATGTGTCTGCATTCACCGGCTGGACTCTGTACGAACTCGAATGAGATCTTTTGCCGTATAGCCCCGACATCGCTCCTTCGGACTTCTACCTTTCTTCACACCTTCAGCTACATCTTGCTGGTGCTACCTTCCATTCTGCACAGGACATCCGAAATCATTTTGATCTGTTTTTGAACTCTCGGTTTCCATGTTTCTGAGCCAAAAGCTTTGAAAAATTACCAAAATCTTTGCAGAAAATCAAAGATTTGGGGGCTGATTACTACCCGCACTAAAGGTATTACTTTCAATTTTTTTTTTTTTTTTTTTTTTTTTCTAATTTTATCAAGAACCGTTTCTTGGCGGAAAACGTTCGCTACAACCAGATATATGATAGCGCTGTTCGGAATACCGCATGTGTCGGATTACCACGGTTTCATATGATTGCAATCCCACTGAAATAGTAGAGATTTAAATAACTTTCTGGGAAAGCTACCCCTACAATGTTTTCTGCCCAGACAGCTTGCAAACTGTACTAACATAAACTAAGCTCATTTTCTTTTTTGTTATGTTTTCTAGAATTATTTTTTTTCAGTCTTATGTGTTTGGTTCAAAAGAGTGCTTGGTTCTATTTTGCTTAATAAGTTCCAGATTTTCGCTTTTCCAACGATGTTTCGCAGAGGATCATATGGTTCCATGAAACATAATTTAGAAGTTTCAAAACTTGAAAAGAGAAAAATTCTGATTCTTATAATATTTTCGCATAATTTTCATACATATACACCATTTAATGTCTTTTCTTACAGTTTGTATATATTTATACCTAAATTTAACATTTCATGCATATATTTTCGATTCGTTTAGCTATTGTTTCTTGAATTTGAAATTTGAAATTCAGTAACAACATGAGATCGTAGAGACATTATGATTTTTTAGTATCATGAAAGATGAAAAATGAGCAATGCCCTCGCCGGAAATCGAACCACGTACCTCTCGAATACGCGCCGAGCCTGCAGACCACTACACCACGAAGGTACGCTAAGAAGGCGGGAGAAATACCTTATTTACTCCCCCTTTTAAAGGGCGACTGGGGATTAGGGGACCCAATCGCCAAATCCTGGTGGTGGAGAATCATCATGTACCACCCTTTTAGTTCGGGCGCCACTCTAGAGACATTAGGTATTTTGAAAGCAAGAGTGATAAAGATCGAAACGTAATTTTCAAACATTCAGTGGAGTTTAATACTTTCTTTCATGAACGGTTAGATTGGTAGATTTATTAATAGTCGTACCAGTATGTCAATTACCTTTCGAGAGCTATAATAAAGAAGGCTGTGATTTATAAGTGGTTGCTAATACTCTCACTTTTTAATCACAATTATTAATATCATATATAACACACTTCTGCAATTCTACAAAATGCATAGCTTCGATTTTCAGAAAACAAAAGGTTCTCACATTAAACATTCTATCAACAAGAAAGGAGTTTAGACTTCAAGCTGGGAAATAAAATAATTAATTTTCGTTTCTCTTAATTAATTAACTACGCATTTGTGTTCTTAATTATATGAAGAGCATGGACTTTTTATTCACGTTCCAAAGCAACGTGAAGCTGGCAAAGTCGTTTCCTTGTAGGTGCCCAAGGCCAAAGTCTGAAGCTCGCTTGGCCACACCCAATATCATTCGTGAGCATCGAGCTATGAGGATAAATAACAATCACAATATTACTAAATAATGTTTTGACATCAAAAGAGACCGTAGCTGAATTGTTTGAATTCTTGAATGGGGAGAGGTGGAGTTAATTTACTGATAAATTCAGCATTGTTAATAGTATAAGTAGTTGGTTAGCACAGCCAGGGCAATGGTGAGGCAAGTGGAACACTTACCTTGATTAAACGGCTAGGAAGCCACTAAATTCGCTGAGAAATCTTAGAAATACTTTAAAAAATTTTAAAAATAAAAATTTTGAAGGGTTTCGGATTTTAAATTACGTCCAAAGGGGTATTTTCTTAACATTTTGTGTGTTACTTTTATTTATTAACTACCATGTTCTTCGCACCTAAACCATAAAATTCAGTCCAAGAGCAATATCGCAAAATAATTTTTAATTGAGCATATCTTTAATTTCCGATACGCAGTCTCGCGCGAAGGAAATAAAAATTTTTTTTTTCTGTGCAATGTTGGCAATGCTCGCTTTGCAATCCTTGAGTTTGTTAATAAAAAATTCGTTAAAGTTTTACAAAATATGAAATCGATATTAAAACAAAATTCCAAATTTCAAATTGGGCGCGATAATATCTGGTGGCAACAGTTTGAAAAGTGAAACGGACATTCAGAGTGATTCGACGCAAAATCGCAAAACGAAAACTATAGTCCATCAGGGACAAAGCCCCCTTGGACTAATTTTGATTTCTAACCTTCAATTCTTAAGCCTAACGAGAAGCATCATTTTTAAATACCATATTCAGAGCGGAAGAAAGAGCATCAAATTTATATAAAGCCTTAAGCTGTAAATTGCAATTGTTGAAACTATATGTTTCTTTAAGTAAGTCAGTTTGAAAGTTTTTATGTACGTCTTCATAGAATTTAATACTAAAAGAAACAGAAAGGTCAATTAAAGCTTTGTCATCAAAACCTTTAAATCTACATAGAGCTGCACTCTTCATATAGGAATTAATCTAACATCGAAACCCAGCGAACAGAGTTACTGTATGGGTTTTTCGTAGACGGATTTCTTCATTCTGTCTAGAAAATGAGAGAAAATATTCTTGAAAAATATAAAAATTTAGCTTTAAGGATATCAAGAGAATTGAACGGAAAGAAAGAAAAGATTAATAAATCAAATTCCAAGATAACAGAACTAATTTTACAGACAAATATTTTTTTAGTAGAAATATTAGAAGTGACAGATGTTTTAAGCTCTCTACTAAAACAGAGATTTGAAAATTAAAGGAGATCGCTTTTGATTTGAAATTTCTAACTAGTGAAAATTAATGTCATTGAATTCACGTATTTTGAAAGGAGCAGTTTATAACTTAAGTATCGAAATATCCAGTTATTCCAGCAAGGATATCTAATTTTAAATCCGTGCATAATTAAACATAAATTAAATAATCAAGCAGATTTTTTAAAACAATTATTGTAGATTTTACCTACAAAAAAAAGAAAAATTTAATTAAAAAAAAAGCTTTAATTCGACACTTTTTGCATTAATTCTTTACGTTTATTATATCAAGTATTGGTGTATCCAAAATACTTTTTAATCAGAAATTATGAATTTATATATATTAATTTTAATATATTAAAACATTAAAAGTATTATGGGAATTATAACATGATTTAGTATAATTACCATTGTCGACTATAAATGTGTACAGGTATTTAATCTGATTATGCCCGTGGGCGCGTATTTACGGTTTTCCTCATGTGAAAAAGTCACTAAGCACGACTTTGTTGGTTAGATACAAGAAAATCTGGGGACTACATTTTTGCGAAGGTGATTGAGAATACTGTGTGTGGATGACAATAAAAAAAATATACAGTGTTCTTATTTTCAAGCAGAATATTTAGTCTCGTGTAAGTTGCTATGGGCATAAATATCATTTCTCAACTTTTTCTGCGCTATCTGAACAGAAAAGTGATGTTTCAATTGGATTTATCATCTATATTAATGTCCTTCATTTTTTTATATAATAAGGCAAATAGTTTTACTTTCTTTGATTCAATAATTAAAAAGTCAGTATAGTTTTAGAAATTTTTATCTTTGAGTACATGAATTTGAACTTCATTAGTAACCATTATTTTATATAGTTTCCGCTGTCACCGATGCTAAGCTTCTTCTTATTTGCAAGTCACTTTTGTGCATTCAGATTTTTTTTTTTTTTAATTTAGAACCATTTTCTAAACTATTTATTGCAAATGAAGACATCTGAAAATGTTATGAAATATCTAATATGTAAATTTCATCATACTGCAAAATTAGTAAAGCAAAGATTTTAACATATTATATATTTCCTGCACTTTTTTCATTTCTTAGATGATACGCAAAAACAAATGATTGGTAAGTCATAAATAAATATACGCATTTCATAAAGAATTATCAGAAATAACTTAAATATTAAATTCGTGCGAATCTAAAGCCTAAGAGATCAGTGCAAACATGTATTAACTGCTGAAAAATTTCTTTTAACCGTGATCTTACACTGAAGATTTGGTAGAATGTTCGAAGAAAGTAATTCTGTTAAAATCAACGGAGAAACAACTGCAGCAGGCAGAAAAAGGAGTGAATTTTCAGTTAGCTCTTTCAATTTCTGGAAAAAAGGCATCGATGCTAGTGATTGGTTGTGTTCGAATTGTTCCCGCTAATTTGTGTTCAAATGGCTTAACATGTTTACCCTTTCAGAGGAAGAGAGAAAGAAAAAGAAAAAAAAAAAACTTTGGGTGGGAAAGAAACGCTCTTAGACGATTCTTTATTTACAAAGTGTGTTCCGAGGTGAGCATTCCTTCGAGAATGTATAGGGAAAGACAGTACTGCTATAAAATAATAATGCATTTTACCTTGGTGCTTTTGGGATGGATAAATAAATAAATAAATACTAAAACAAATAAAAACGAAAATTGAATTTTAACGAAGCAAAATGAGTATTTTATTTAAATTCTTTTGTGGTTACTCATTTACAGCTTTTTTTCCCTTTTTAATTTAGAAACTTTAAAATCAGATTGTTGGTTTTGATTAATTTACATAAATAACATACATATTCATGCTTGCATCTCATAGTTTCGTAAGAAAAAATTGTTGTGAAATGGGAAATGAGGATAAATATTATTGATGCTTCCTATGCTAGGGTGAGATTTTAAAATGTTTTAATACATTTTATACATTATGTCAGAAAGATAAAATACTAATCTGAATAACAGAAAAAGGGATCTTGTTCTTGTTCACATCTAAGGGAGGGTCACATCTAAGGGAGATCTAAAATCTTGTTCACATCTAAGGGAGGGTGCTAAGTGACAAAAAATTAATTATGACTGAAATAAAGATTCACAAATATATAACATTTTACTGCATATTGACTGTTTGTAGTCAAGCAGCGTTTGGGATCACATGATTTTATGAACCTTTCCAAAACCTGCATTTTTGCAAGCACGATCAATTGACTATAGTAGACTTCAACATAAATCTTGAGTATTTTCCTTAAAACTGATAAAACGACAGAAAGGTGTTATTCATTTTGAATCAAAAGTCATAATCATTTAAAACTGACTACGAAAAAAATCCATTAATTTTTGTAATTAAATATGTTAATTTTTTCTCATTCTTGTATTCATAAAGATATATCTGTTAGCTAAAATTCTAACCAGCACATAACTGCTAAAACGATAGACAACGGTATCTAATAGGAAAAATAAATATTATATATAAACCAAGGATTGCTTAGATAAAAAATAACGAAAATAATATGATTCAGAATATGAGTTTACTATGCATGGAATGTGATAGTGAATTAGAAACAGTTCTCATAGATCGAATTCAAATGCACGGAAATACTATATCTAATTAATATTATGTATCTTATTTATCTAGCTCTACCAAGCTGCTACGCAAATGATTACTTCCGAAGGAATATCGGATCAAGTAAGCTCTAATACTCACACTCAAGTATGAAGAAAACTTTTCATGATTTAAAATTTCATGATCCCCAAGAAAGCGCTGAGTCATCTACGCTTCAGTACGACAGACTTCCAATCCGAAGCATCGAGAATGAGTTGATGAATCTGCACATCTCTCAAAGAACATCATGCAAAATGTTTATCTATTGAAATTAAGCATCCAGGATGGAAGTTCGAAGATTAAACTATTACGTTGTTTGAGAAATTTCCAAAGCACAGAAATTCAAATAATTTTCGAATTGGCTGACAAATTCTGCAAAGAAATGATTGAAAGATTTACGGAAAGAAAAACCTTTTGAAATCGTAAAATTTTAGGAGAGTAAATATTATTGTGATATGCTTAAAATATTACAATGTTAAATAAAATTCGATATATATATATATATATACATAACTGTGTAAGGAAAAAGGGCTTAAGATATTATTTATATATTGTAATTTTACATATAATATTTTTTATACGAAGTCTAAAAAATTATGCCGAGTTTATGTAATATGCAACCAAACGGATTTTCTAATCAGCCTCTATAAGTAAATGCAAAACTAATGAGTTTAGCATTGCATGTACTCAATATAAATAATTCTTACGAAGTAGAAGCAATTCAAGCATTAGAATAAGCATACGCATTCATTAGGCTGCTTATCTAACGCAGTTTTTCTCGGTAAACCTGCAGAAAATGTATAAACAATTTCGTTCATAAAATTTTTAACATTATTACAGTACTTGATTTAATATCTTGAAAATATTAAATTATAAGGAAAAAATTTGTTAGATCAACATTCTTACATTTTTATTTTTATTATGGATTTAAAAAAAATTGTATTTTATGTGAATACTGACATCCTAAATTTTTACTTATAAGTTAAAAGTTCCTCCTTGAAGCTCCCCAGCTCCCCAGAAAGAAGAAAAAATAATAATACTTGGCAACAATTAGTGCGAAAGATCTAATTCAAATTTATTGCTCAAAAATAAATAAATGATAATGTGAACAGATACCTCAGATGCAAATGAGCTTCCTTATAAGCAGTCAAAATAAATGAAATGGGAAGGATTAGGAAAGTAGCGTGGTCGAGTGCATTTAATTATTTACAGTAGGATGCATAGTACTCTTTTGGAGAGCATGGTCTTATTTGGTAATGAATATATCGGATATCCAGCTCTTGCACTGGTTGTAATTCACAACTCTGTCTCTTTCACCAGCGATCGACCAACGCAGGTAGTTCAGCTCAAATCAGAATTTCTGCAGTTTTCTTCATGTCAGTGTGCATCACTTCAAATATTCACAGCTCGTAGAACTGTGTGTATCTTCTGCATGCAAGATAAAATATCATTTCTTAATCACTGCAAACATAAACATAATTAAAAGTTTTCAAGCGTTTGATAATATCTGAAATGGTGTTAGATCTAATAAGTAATTTCCAGTAATTTAAAACAGTTATAAGTTTTGTTTCACTTTTCAAAAATATCCTATGGCTTTGCAACTTCATTCAAGCATTCTTTTAAATGACCATTAATAAATCTTATTTGTGCGGAATTAATATAGCAGTGCATTTTAAATTTGTGAATTTATACATAATTTATTTGTCGTTTGAATAAATTACCTGCTGAAATTTTTCTATTTCCACATCTTTGAAAGCTTTATTGGCGAAAACATAAAAATTTGATTAAAAAATGGGAAAGGAGAGACATTTGTATCAAGAAGTTAGTACTAGTATGCTTATAAAACTGAAAAGATATGACGTGTTTCAGTACATTGGGTGTCCTGTTGACTTCATTTCGTTTTTGATTGCTACTAAACTTAGGGAATCGGTTCTACAATGAGAAAGATTGACGGCTAATTTTTTAAAATGTGTTTTAGCTTTATTTAAACTTGTATTTTCCAATATTTGAAAGGCAAGTTTTTCCCTGCTTTATATTTTTCTTCTTCGTTTAACTTGCGTTTTGATCAGACTGTCAGAGCTGATTAGAATTTATTTCAGATTATGTTATTCAAAGTTTAAATTTAAAACAGGGCTTAATTTGAAGTTGTTGTTCAGGCAGTAAGTGTTGATATTTTTTAAATATGTTTGGAATTTTTAACTGATCGTAAGAGGGGTGCTTGAACTGTATAGTAAAAAAAAAAGGTTTTTGTGAAAATATGTATATATACTTGTATAAATTTAATCTGGCACTAACTGAAAAAAGTTCTTATTAGTTTTGTATTGAAAACATCCTAATCCATTCAATAATTCAGTTTAAATCAATAATATTACTGCCTACTTCTTTCTGTTTCCTACTTTCCTTCCTCTCCCCCTCCCGTATAATACTGCTAAATTAGTTCATTATCTACTGCATTCTTGATGGAGATGGATGCCCTTGTTCACTTTTTAGCTGAGATATAAAGCTATTTAATGAAAAATTCATAGTGGCTCACATTTGTTTTCGAACACATGGGTTTCTTAATTTTAATTGCAAATATCAGTTACTGAGTATTATTTAAATGATTTCATACTACTGTGAACATATACTACCGATCACACATACTACATATATTACAGATCATGTCTTTTCAAAACTTGGTTGTTTTGAAAAAAAGTTAGTCAACACGATTTTGGTAAATAATAACAATAATAATAATTGATTCAACTATTTTAAAATGAACGCACATAAATATTAGAACATTAAAAAATAGAAAAGTGAGACATTTAGTATTTCATTCGATATACTTTAGCTAAAATTACACTTTTTATGTTTTTGGCGTGGATTTCCCCCCCCCCCATGTAAGAATACTTCTTAGTAAAAATTTCGAAGAAGATGATATCTTCTTATTCTTTCCTCCAACTCTCTCCATATATATTCGATATGAATACGGAGGTGTTCTGATAAACTCAGATCAGTTATATGATAACCATGAGCAAATATTTAGGATTGTATGTTCAGGATTGTTATCTTGATAAAATCTGAATCAATTTTGTATTCCAAGTTTTCTTGCATATGCATTTCAAGTTTTCATTAAGAACATTTATATATTTGTACCAATCCGTGCTATTGTGTATAAAAAAAAATAATATCCATTCCAGAGGCAGCGAAGCATCCCCAAACCTTTCTGCCTCCGCACCGTGCTTAATTGTAAGCAACAGATTCTAGGATTCAGTTATTAGTTCAATTTTCGCCTCACAGTAGTTTGTCCATCAGACCCAGTTGTATAAAGTTTTGACTCGTCTGCAAATATAACATTATTCCAATATTACAAATCTTTGCTTACTATAGATTTTGCAAACGTCACTCGTATTTTCCTTGTTTTCGTGCTGAGTAAGAATTTAATTCTTGCTGATCTTCCCTATAAAAGTAGTATCCATGTGCTATAAAGGCTGTTCAAAGTGTTTCAGAGTTAACTTTGATAACAAATCGTTCTTTTAAATACGTTGAAAACGTTTTGGTCTTGTTTTATTTTTTCTGGAATAAATCAGCGATTGCTTGGTAATAGCTTAGAACGTGATCTAGACCTCAGCGCATTTTTTTTTTTTTTTTTTTTTGGATATTTTGAATACTTTTACCATCTTTAAAGGATACATAATTAAATTTTTAACAGCACTTGTCATTAATGTGTGGTGTCTTGCCGTGGCCACTTCAAGTGTATTAATATATTTTGCTGAACAAGTAATAACTTGCAAATGCAGATAATAATTCGTGTGAAAAGTGATCGAATTTGCCTAATTTGTGATTTGAAACAAATTGTGACAAGAAACATCGTTTTCCAAATTCATCTAAATAAAATTTTCGAGTATCCGAATTATTATGCGAGATACTATTTAACACTTTTTTAGAAATTACTTTATTACAAGGAATATTTTGATGATATTAGTTTTGCAACAGGAAATTTTTTAAATACAGAAAAAATAGTCTATTAGAGAAAAATTTTAATTTATGTTTATTACAAGATCTATGCAAATGCATATCAAACTACAGGTGCCCAAAAACAAATATGAATCCTCATAATAGAGATCAGGTTTGAGCTATGTGTATAAAATTATTTGATACGCGATCTGTTTTAGTAATTTTACATTTCAAAATCTAGCGAAATAATAATCATATTAAATCATATATTAAGTATCATTTCAATAATTATTTCGGAATGCATTAGTCATAAATGAAATCATGAATGTAATCCTTTTTATTTTTAATTGTTACCTGCAATAATTTTATGAGATATTTATAAAGATATCCGTTTTCAAACAAGCACAATGCAATACTACGCGCAGTGTATTATTTATTAACCAGCGAAAAACAAGTTTAAGCAGCAAAAGCTTTAAAAAAATAAACCTTGTCAATTTTTAGAAGTCTGCAATTCTGAAACACCTTCAGTATTTTATACATGGATAAACTAATTATCGATTCTTAAACTGAATGTATTCATTGTGGCAATTTCATTTTGTCGAATTGTGCAAAGCTCCACACTCAGTATTTATTGTCGTATTGCAATGAAATAGGGAATTTCTGATACATATTTGTAAAATAAATAAAAACTTGGAAGCATATTTGGAAAGTGAGGAAAATGTATTTTTTATACGAAATAGTTTTAAACAAATATTTTTTAAATGCACCAGATGGCAGCACGAACAAATATATGAACGCAAGTTTTCTCCTGCCGTAGTAAAAGCGGGTGATTCTACTGAACTGAAGCTGAAAAATTCCAGATAGAAAACCATCTGAGGTAAATAATTCATTTTTTACCTACGTCACAACGCATTTAACTGGGATCTGGATTTCTAAATTAACAAAGCGTTATAGCAAAGAAAAGTAATGCAGTTTAATAAGTCAGTAAAATATTACAGTAAAACGAAATGCAAAATCAAGCTAATTTGAATGTTTAAATTAATGAAAGTTGCAAAATCAAACTAATTTAAATGTTTAAATTAATGAAAGTATGTTTCCGTATCTGCGGATCCGCATTCTTTAGCCTAATTTTTCTTCAACTGAATGTCATCGTCTGTCTTTGTACTTGCGCATTTGTCATATTTCTCACAATGGCTATAAATACAGACACAAAATTATTGCCATACATCTTAGAGCTCAATACACAAATTACGTATTTCAGTCTGAGTAACTTAACTTTCCTTGTAGTTCAAGTAATTTTGTTCACAAAGTGACAAGTGAATATCCAATCTCTCAAATTCTGCCAAATTCCTCATATTATCATTCCAAAACAATTTTCAGTTATTGCCAGACAAAAATGTTTACAATTGCGTATACTAGCATTTATCAAAAAATTTTAGACGTGTAACATACGAATACCTTTTATGGTCACCCAAGTTTATAAACCCAAAGCATTGTTGTTTAGAGTTCCAACATTTTCTGGGAAATTTTCGTGCAAGTTGAACTGTGAATTGTGATTTTAAATAGTTGATTAATTTCAAACTTCTTTGGCTTGAACGGAATATTTTAATTTAATTTTTAACATACGCTTCTTTTATTAAATCATCTATTGCATGTTTTATATAATAAATTGCTCGACAGTATGTATTTTAAATAGTCGGCTAAATGGCTCTTCGGATGGGGAAAAATATTTTTTTAAATTACTTGCTTTTTCTTTGCCATATTCATCTTCTCGTATTAGAGTAAGTACCCCGCTCATAGAATCACTTTACCAAGTCTGTAGTTTATGCTGATTTTATAACTCTAGGTTTGACTGTATATTATTTATGTAAAACTAATTTAAGTTTGTGAATTGAAATAATTGAATAAAACATTCACATTCACAAGTTTAATATTTTATATTAGTAAATTATATCATATGTACATAATTAAACATAATCCAATTTTGACAAGAGAAAATATATGCAAAGCATTCAAAATGTAGAAAATGTTCTTTGACCTAGTAATATGCTATTCTGTTTTTTACAAAAATATCGTTCTCAAACCTCGAAAGGGTAATTGAAATACTTGGATATTTTTTTTTTTTTTGAAATAATTTAAGACGTTTTTCAAATTATAATTATAATACGATACTTTTATATTTTGAATTACGTTTCTGAGCAACAATTATTTCAGCTTCTTCATTAAAGGTGAAACTTTCCCCAATTTAGCATTGTTGGCTATATATTAAATGGTACAATACAGCATAATCAATAACATTATTTATGACAATTTAGCAAACATAACGCTATAAACGAAATCAAGTGACAACATCTGTGTTCATCATTTATGTTAATCAAACTCAATTAATATTTATATGAAAGTATAACTTTAAGTGTACACTCTTAGATTTTATTGTAACATTTTTAAATGCAATCTTCAGCAAAGAAGGATTTACACTTTTCATAATTTATTAATATTCTCAAATGCATGTTTTTTTTTATTTTTCTTCGTTTAATATATGTAAAAGCGACGAAATTTGGGTCATGCCGCTAACCTGGAACAAATATAGGACTAACAGGATAAAATAATCAATGGCAACATGTAAATGGACGGTGAAATTGCAATTCATTTACTGTACAAACATAACTTACATCTCTTCGCTTAAAACTTGCAGTGTTCAAAACTGGCTTCAATGTGTATGACAAGCACGTGCTAAATATCTGCATTTTGCATATTCCTTCAAGTGCAATACAAAAGAGTTGTTTATTTTCTATTAATCAAACCTGCATGATCTGAATCTGTGCAAGGTGCTTTGCAAAGTTTCTGTAAACCTTTATATGTACATACATATTTACCAGTTAGAGCTACACAAAGTTATTGTCTATGAGCATATAGTAGATTTCGTTGAGTTCATCTTTTATATAATGTGTGCAGAAGGCATTTTCATGTAAAGTATTCTTTTATTTTAAATTTTATCTTGTATTTTAGGCTGCAGTGAAATATTTTGTATTTTATTCTCTCATTTACTATTTTCTCAATTTACTGCTTTCACGCACTCAATAATTATTGCAATTGAGTGCTGCGAAGATAATAATTCATTGTACTGAATTTTTAGATGCTTTTCTTATCACTGGACACAATAAAAATCACTCTGAATTATTTAATTCTGTGGTTCTTTTATTTGTAGCTCCTTCCATGAATATATACAAATATAATCAATAGTAATATTTTAATGCATCTTCTTGTTTTCACAGATTATGGGTAAAAGGGTATTCATTTACTTTTAATGACATCCATATTCAGATTCATTTGTTCATATTTAAATATTCAAAACACTAGTGCTTGCTTAAAATACAGACATCAATGTTTAGATTAAATTATAGCACAATATAAAGTAACTCAAATTGATACTAAACTAACTTACGACACATTAGAAGCCGGGTAGATAAAATCACAAAACATTGCCTTGCTCGCCGTCTTCACGACTTAATTACGGCCACTGAATAGTTCGGTTATGTAGGCTTATGGCATTCGGTTTCTTTAATGTGGACTTGAATCACTCTCCTTGAGAAAGGCATGCACGATGTTTGACTGAAGCAGCTAATATCTGACAGCTTCCACGTAACAGCCTAGCTTTCAGAATTACAGTGAAATAAGGAGTACCTATTAAAATTAAACTCAGTTTTTGTTACAAGACAGTGGAATATATGGAACTTATGCATAAAAATTTATAAAAACATAATAATATCAGTAGTTTCGTAATATTAGTAGATCAAATTCCTAATCAGTTTATGAGTATCTAATTTATAGAGTGGTTTCATTATCAATTTTTTTAGCAAAATAATCCGAAAGAATTTTCACATTTTTTAAAGAATAAATAAAAGTTTTCTTTTGTTCGTCTATCGCAGTTCGCGTGCTAAAGTGAAATTGAAATCTCCACTACGCTGGCAATCAAGATGTTTGCATCTGAAGTACATAGAAAGTAGGACGTTTCCTCTTAATAAAGATCATGCTTGTCAAAACTTTGGCAAACTGTTAGAGTCTCAGGGAGGTACCATGGCAACTGCCTAGATAGTCTATTTGTTCAAACATTGACAAATAGCAGACTTCAGATATTGCAGTAACAGTCAGATGGCCTTAGTCAACAAATCGACTAATTGTTCCCATGCGTAAAGAACGGTCTTGAGATCATGCTTTGGAAAATATTCCACTCTCTGATGACATGCCTAAATGATTCGGCAAGTCTGGTCGTCATCTAAATGGGCCTTTCAGTTATAAACTGTAAAATTTAACCACTTTGAAACTTTACATTTAATAAACATATGTGCGTGACGTCAAACATGATTATTTTTATGATCTGTTCTCTGTCACCTTATTTGCATATGCTGTGTCGAAATACCTGTGCGACAGTGGGTTTTGTGTTCAATAGCATATGATTACAATAAATAGTTACGTTCAATGAAATTATAACACAATCCCTTTCAAACGCAATATAAATGGGAAATCAACATGAAACTCATTTTGTGTTTCATTTCATTGTATTTAACGTTACCCCCATTGTCAAAGAAGGATAACTCATTCATTGTATACAGCAATAAATAGAATTGAGTACAGTTAGGAAAATCAGTGTCTTGGATTTACAAAATAGGGCCTGCGTGTTCTGTGTACTATGGGCTCTATCTTCCATGTGCACTTGCCATACCGTGACATAGAGTGTCCAATGAAACATTCACGATCTCCTGATGAACGTCATTAAAAATACTTTAATGTCAGGATATGAATAAAAATTTGAGATTTCATAATGTATATATAGGTACGTGTGTATATAATTTAAATAACAATTTAATTAAATGAGTAAAATTAAGAACTTCATGGTGAAAATCTAACGATTATGTATTATGCAGCTGAGATTGGCCAAAACCGTGCCAACTGCCTTTTTTACTGTGTGTGTGTTCATTGTCAAGCTTTAAAAGAAATAATTATATAAAGCCCCATTTTTCAGCCACTTCTTATTTACATTATTAAAAATGCTGATTTATAAACGAGATGAATTTCTGAGCACTAATTTCACAACATCCATTCGCAATCGGTGATCTGCGATAAACTTTCTTACACAGCAGCAGAAGGCATAGTAAATCGAAAAAAATTAAGGACATAAAATGCATTACACTTACACAACACAAATAAGCTTCAACGAATAAAAACTTCTCAAAAATGCTTTTAAAACTTATCACAAGCAAAAGAAGTAGCATAAAGTTTAGAGGAAAAGAAACTGACTTTAAAAGCATTTATAACATGCAACTACACAAAAGTTGAAATGAATCTTCACTTTTAATCAATAAAAGCACAATGCTAAGTAGCTTTCTTACGATACTATCTATCGCAGACTGCCAGCTGGTATTATAAATAGCTAACTCAGAGGCTTCTAAAGGTGTCAGAATTGACCCCTGCGGGTCGATGAATTTCAGAAAGGTTTCTTCGGTGATCCAGGGGTCGATGTGCGCGGGCGGTTGATCGACATAATGAAGATCCCGTTGATTACAAATAATTATTAATATTGTAAAGCTGAAAGTAAATTACAAGGTATTTTCTCTCTCATTTCTGCATGCCTTCGTGGTGTAACGGTAGTAACTCGGCGCGTATTCGAGAAGTCCAGGTTCGAGTCCTGGCGAGGACATTGCTGATTTTTTTCGTGTTTCCTACTTCAAAAATCTTAATGACTCTACAAAATTATTTATTGGAATAAAACTATATAAGATAGCAAGGAAGAAATCATATAAATTAAATATAAGGGAGAAGTATACAATCTTATATGATATATTTTGAAAATTAATAATCCTTTTTTCACATGTAGCATTATTTTATGCAAAAGGTGCAATCAAAAGTGAAATGCAGGAACACAAGCAAACACAGTGGCCGTATAAAGACATTTTTGAGGCCTTACTGTTTTACTTTCTGTTTAAACTTTCGATAGTAATACTGCTTTCTTGAGGAAAATAATAAGACCGCTTTGCATAACTTCCTACAAGCAAAGTCGGCACCAGAGTGTCTGTAGCTGATGCGGCCGCACCAGACGGCAGAATTTAGGGCGGCAAATTTTTTATAATTTAGGAAAGAACCAGACGAAAGAATTTAGGATTTGTGGAATTTGTTCCGGGTAGCAAATGTCTAGCCTTCAAAAGTTTAACAGTTATAACTTCTTCAAATATTCTTTACCAAGAACCTATGAAAGTGAAACATTCGCCCTCCTGAAGATAATAAGCGTTTTTAATTTTAAAGTCTCTTCAGCGTCTTTATATATCAGTTATTAATTTAACTTGAATAGCTTGTAGAGAAATTAGGTATTTTTTGGAGGCCGGAGAGATGAAAAATTAGCAACGCCTTCGCCGGGAATTGAACCACGGACCTCTGGAATACCGGCCCAGCGTGCAGAACCACTTCACCACGGAGGCACGCTAGGAAGGCGGGAGAAATACCTTATAAGCTAAATGGATCATAATTAGAGTGAAACGAAAAAGTAGTCTTTTTCTGTATTTTTCTATCTCTAAACCCGGAGAAATATACCTATCGCCGAGCTATACAAAATGAAAAAAGAAATTTTCATATAAAAATATATCTTCCATTCGCTCACCTCACTCAAAGTTGTAGAAAATACCGAAAATTTCTTTTCCGTCAGTTTTTTATAATTACTAAGTTCACTACTATTGAAATACAGTTGTTCATAATGTGAATTTGGGAGCATGAGGAACACGAAAAAAATTGAAAACCCGCATTTTCAAATCGCATAAAGTAAAAAAAAAAAAAAAAAAATTGTAAAATTAGCAATATTTCTTAATTTCGATAATTTTACTTTTTCACTTTTGTAAACGTTAAAATTTTTTGTCGAAAGAGTGCACTTTAAAGTTAGTTGAGAAAATTTTGGCATAATACATCTTGACAGGAAAGCGTATTCCTAGTCAAGTCGTTTCTTGCGGCCACCGACACACATCTTTTTAGGTACTTCGGTCACCAGTTTGACACTCCGTTCTTACAGTCTCTACGTGGCAAGCGAAGCTTTGGAAATCCGGTTGCAGCGCGAAGTGATAATCCCAATCTTTAAGGGAATTTTTGAGGTCCTCATCCATAATGTTCCTTAATAGTTGGAGGAGGAAACAATCCCACCAAATCGTATTGAAGTAGTCTGTTGCTTCGAAGTTAAGTTTTGGAGTGATGGAGTTTCGAGTAGTCTTTCCGTCGGGAAGTGATCGAGCTTTCAATAACCGGCGCAGCCAATCACTGTAATCACGACTAGTTAGATTAACTGTAATTACGACTCTGTAATATGTCTTCTTTCATCCACAATCACTGCAGGAATCAAATTTCCTGGAATGAACAAAGGAAGTATTCCGCTTAATTAGCGGGTGATAACTTCCAGTAATTTTGTGTTAGGTTTCGTGATGTTCCGACGGCTTCAAAAAGTATCTGTGAAGTGTCTGTTAAATGTTTATTGGTTTTGATTTTAAACTATAGAGGCATATAACAATTAAAAATAAAATGCATAAGCAGCCTAATTTCGTCAGTAGCTTTTTTCAAGCTCACGTATAGTCTGACAACTCGATTTTCTCGTTTTGAGTTTGCACGCTGTCCAGGATCATGAGTAGTTAAATCTTCTAAAACTGAACCTGACTTCATGAGAGCAGAAGTATCAAGTAAGTATAACTGATCCGTGCTCAACGTCTTTCTACCAACTTGAAGAATGGAAAATTCAACACGTTGAAAGAGAACGATTGCAAGTTTATAATTTCTATCGTTTTTTTCCCAGTCTGTCCAGTGGAGTATTGGAACCCTGTAATAACACCATCCCTGCCATGAAAGACGGAACTGCAGTTCATTGAAGTGTAGGTGATATATAGCTCACCGCAGTGGTCTTCTAACAAGCAATTCAATCTGATGGATAAACCCATTTTTTAAACCAGAATTCATCACAGTTTTATCGCTCCCTACGACATCAAGTTCTTCAAACGAAATCTCACGAGTATGGAAAATTATGGTATACGCTGTGTCTTTAGCAATTCCTGTAGAGAGAGAAGTATGGGCAGTATATTCTGACGCTTGTATGGGGAAATCATAGCCTTTTTTTTTAAGTTATTCGAAAACGCTATGAATTAATGTTTTGATTATTATC